GGTCAGCGCCAGGCCCCCTCCTGCCAGGCAGGGCTAGAGAGTTGGCAGCTCCGCAGTGAGCCCTCCTGCTTCGGCCCCCGTGTTTCTGAAAGCAGATACAAAAAAAGTAAAAAGATTTGCTGGATAGCCTGAGTAAAAGGAAAACAGTAAAGGGGTCTGAAAGGCTGACCAGTAAAAACTGTTCTGAGTCTCCTTCCCTTTTGTTTTATGCAGGTGAAGGCTCTGGCAAAGCTCTGTAACAGAGGAGCCCCAGAGGACCCCCAAACCATTAGCCATGGCCGTACCTATTGCTGTTCTTGACTGTGACCTCTTGCTCTATGGCCGCGGACACAGGACTTTGGATCGCTTCAAGCTGGAGGACGTCACGGATGAGTATCTAGTATCCACGTACGGCTTTCCCCGACAGTTCATTTACCACCTGGTGGATCTCCTGGGAGCCAGTCTCTCTCGCCCTACACAGCGGTCCAGGGCCATCAGTCCGGAGACGCAGATACTTGCTGCATTGGGTTTCTATACCTCCGGCTCCTTCCAGACTCGCATGGGGGATGCTATTGGCATTAGTCAAGCCTCCATGAGCCGCTGTGTTGCCAATGTAACTGAGGCATTGGTGGAAAGAGCCTCACAGTTTATTCACTTTCCTGAGGATGAAGCTACCGTACAGTGCATGAAGGATGACTTTTATGGGCTGGCAGGCATGCCAGGAGTGCTGGGGGTGGTTGACTGCACCCACGTGGCAATCAAAGCACCAAATGCTGAGGACCTGTCCTATGTGAACCGAAAGGGTCTCCATTCTTTGAACTGCCTGATGGTGTGCGATGCCAGAGGAGTCCTCCTGAGTGCAGAAACGCACTGGCCGGGCAGCCTGTCCGACTGCACGGTGTTGCAGCGGGCAGCCCTTACAAGACAATTTCAAACTGAGCTACATAAAAATGGCTGGCTACTTGGTAAGTCAATTTTTCATCCTTGTTTTCTGTGGAAAGTCTAATGGTGGTTCCTCTTTGAGTCTAGAGCCTCTGGGCATAAGTGATATGTTTACTTCTGATTTCCTGCAAATTCCTTCAGATTTAAGATTCAGTTTGGACAATCGTCCTAGAAGTCTAGAACAATAACTTCCAATCTGTGTTTTACAGTCTGATTATTGTATGTATTAGTTTACATTCAGTTACCTGGTTTTCTGTATCCTACACTGTTCTAAGCCCAATTACACAATTTTTAATTCTATGTATGCTCCTAGTTCAGCTGTCTTTCACTGTATTACTGTGGTGGGTTGACCCTGGCCGGGGGC